CAGAGTGGTGAAAAGTACACTGATCCTTTTAAACAGACCAGGGTTTAGGGCTGTTGTACATAGGATCTCTATGAGTCGCAAATGACTCACGGCACATAACAACAACAACAACACATATTACTATAAATTGACCTTGGAGTACTGCTTTTGCTGTGTCCCAGAGATTTTGATATGTTGTGTTTTCAATCTTATTTACTTTTTTTATTATTTTCAAAGCAATACATTGATTATAGAAAAATAAGAAAATATAAACAAGAAAAAGCAACAAAAGAAAAATACCCATTACCTTATTTATTTAAAAATAACCACTTTTAACTCTCTAATTGTATGGTTACAAACCCTATTCTTTGAGTGTATTTTATTATTATGTGTTGTTTTGTGCTGTGGAGTTGGAACCGACCTGTAGCTGACTCTCCAGTGGGTTTTCAGAGGCAGTTAATTGCATGAGAGGAAATTGCCCATCCTTCTCCCACAGAGCAGTTGATGGATTTGAACCTTGTGCTTTTGGGATTGCAGCACTGCTTCACACCACTAGGACACTAGGGCTCCCCATGAATATTGATCTCATGGAACAATCTTAAGTTTGCAAACAGCCATCTAAGATAAAACTAATTGTTTCTACTTATTAGGAGCAAAAGATAAAGATGGAGACCAAGAAACTAGTTTACAAGAGTAGTTAATTGCCTGTTCAAGCCATGCCTCATCTGTACTGACACCAGAAAAAGTAGATGCTTGGCCATTACTACCAACTGTTCTGATCAGGGAGACAATAGATGGACCCTGACAGAAGCAGGGCAAAGCACAAAACTGAACTTAATTTTTTTACAAAGTCCAAGTTTACTAGGCCAGTTGGGAACTAAAGGATTCCCCGGTGATCTGCTTTTGGGGAAAGTCATAGAGAAATCATACGTTTTATTCTCACACGCAAGAGGTCACCACAAATCAAAAGTGACTTGTGGCAATTGCTTAAGATGTGATCCTTAAATTTACTATGTAATCTGTAACTGTAAGGAGCTTTGGTGGCACTGGGTCCACTGGGCTGCTAACCACAAGGTCAGCTGTCTTACACGGTCCCTGTGAATAAAGCTCAGTGGCATTGGGCTTTTTCTATGATATTAAATGACATCACGTCCTACACACAGTTCTATTGTCAGCTTTTGTTTGTTTGTTTGCTTGATACAAACACATTTGCATCTAAAGTTTTCAGACCTTTGAACTGTTACGTCTCCCAGGTATATAAAAGCATGTTGCTGTGAAGATCAAAAGAAAGATGTGTGTAAAAATATTGTGGAAGGCTTTGTCACTAACAGGCAGCTTTGGTCGGATTGCCTGTTAGGGACTTGTCTTGCTAACTTACCTCTCTGGCAATTCAAATCCATTAGTGGCTCCATGGGGGAAAGATGGGCAATCTTCTCCCATGTGCTTTACAGCTTCCAAGCCCAGTGGATGGTCAGCCATGAATTCGAACCCCACAGCAATGACAGAGACAGACTATCGCTAATAGATTAGTATTATTGTTATGTCCTTTTGTGGAAACCAGTGCTTTTTGAAATGCTCTTGCTAAGTGTTCTTACACATTAGATTGGTAAATTAGGACTTTTTCAATGCCTAGTCCCTTGAATCCTTTCAGACTGACTATTTGTATCTTTGGGTCACCCAATTCTTAGACTATAATAATTATTGGATTAATATTTGTTGTCACACTTCGATCTTTAGAAGAGGCTTGTTATATTTTTTTATTGTCTGAGGTGGTGTTCATTGGTCTTTGGTTAGTCTTTGTTTTAGGCCAACTTAAGAATTTCAAAAAAATGTAAATAATATTAATCTTTGCTGTCCTATGACTAATCTTATTTAAATGGAAATAAAGTGGAAACTGCTTTTCAAGTTTGAAAGGGATAGACAAGAACATATAAACTGCCTCTCTGAGAGAGGAATTTATTATAGATGCTCTTTTCTTTTTTACTTGTGTTTTCTGTAATGTTAGGTATTGATTTCATAATTGGGAAAGGAAGCAAAATGGCATTTTGTTTTGTGGTTTTTTGGTGTTTTGGGTTTTTTTTTTTTCTATTATGCATTCTGGTTTATTTTCCATGAACCAAAGTGTAAATTTTCCTTGGACATCACAATTTATATCTGAGTCTTCCAGGCTTCTTGATAAGCCAAGAAATGGATGTTTTAAAGCTATCTTTTTCCTAAAGTTTATAACCTACCTATAAATGGTCAATTAAAATATAAAGATTATATTTATTATTAATTTTGGGGTTGTTTGTGTATATATATGTATGGATATGTGTGTGTATATATATATATATATATATATATACACTAAATTTTATGAGTGTTGGGATTTTTTTTATTATCCAGTATATTATATATAAATTAAACTGATCAGGAATATTTTTCTTATGAATGCCTTCATAATTTTATTTTATAGATGCCCTATTTTAATCTTTTGAAGAGTTTCACATCTACCTTTCCTCATGTATCTAGGATATCACGGTAAGTTCAAGATCTATTATTTAGTTCCTAAAATCATTAGTCAATTTCTATTGCTAGTGAGTTTCTGTTCTAAAATGTAGAGTGTTAGTCTGATACATTTAATATGTTAGTGTTAGTCGATACATTTAATATGTTAGTTTAAATGAGTGTCATACTGGGTTCTGCACGATCTCTGCCTTTCCAAAACCCAATATATATTCCAAATATTGAAGTTTAACCTTAACCCAGAACCACCCTGAGCATAGTTCTTAAAGTGTTGATACACTCTTTAGCAAGGACAGGAATTCTATGTCTTTTTCCAAATTATAGTGTTCTTTTAGATTCATATTTTATTTTCAGTAAATATTTGGGCTTAATTTTTCTCATCTGGCACTATTACATATATGTGTGTTTATATGATTTTTATGTAGAAATAAAGTCATCTTACATGATAAAATGGCTCTTCGTCTTAACACTGTGTCTTTTGCTGGTCCCAGGTTTCATCATATAACCCCAGCAGTGTGCTGTTGCAGTAAAACACAGAGTGGTGAAAAGTACACTGATCCTTTTAAACTTGCCTGGAGAGACTTAAAAGGTCTGTATGAGGACATTAGGAAGGTAAGTATGTGGCCAATTCCAGTTGATTCTTAGAATGTGGAAAACCCCAGTGTGGATTTTCAGGAAAGCACAAAGCCATACCAAGTCAATTTGTCTGCACCCAGTTTCACATGTTTCTTGAGCAACAACCATGTTCAACCAACTGATGCTGGATAGTGTGGAGCTTGCCATGCATGTGGCCATCTAGGAAGAAGGTCTTGCAGGGTTGAGAAACTGGAAATGTATGCTACTGATAATTCATAGTTGTGAAATTATTTCCATCACCTACTCCAAACTTAGTGAAACACAAAGCTTCTCCAATAATTCTCTCATTGAGGAAACTACTGTTTCCTTGTCTCATTCTTAGTGTCAGTATCAGACTGCTTCAAACTCTACTTCTCTACTGTCAGTGCCCCCTAGCTTCACATGGATCCTAAAATGCCACCCAGAAATGTTGTCAGCTTTCTGATTTTTTGGTTTTCAAGTCCCGAACCAATTAACTGAATGCAGTATCAACTCCTCCTTAGACAACATAGAGACCATGAGGCAAGGACTCCCTCCATGTCTGTTCTCTTACTTAGTTTTAAATTTTTTATTGGTTTGCATATAATCACAGACATTGTGTTGTGTGTCTGCACCCTTCTATAAGCTTACCTACTTCCCTCCCCTCTCAGTGAAGAAAGTTTCCCCCTTCCTTCCTACGGGCAGTTCCTTTTACCTCTGTACAAGCCCCAACCCCATGGCCGCCTCTTAAGTTCCTTAAAAATTTTTCCATCCATGGTCGCTGTTTGTCTTTTATCTAAAAACTCTCTCCCTTGTTATTGTCTATTTCATACCTACTTTGCATGCTCCAGTTTCTTTATCATTTACAAGCTGTCTCACTCCTCCTCCAGTGATCAGAAGCCTTAGCATTCTCTCACTTGCCCCTTTGTTTCTGCTCTCCCATTGCAGTGTGGTTTCCTTTCCACCTTCTCCTCTGTAACTGCTTTTACCAAGGTCATCACTAATTTCCTTTTACTGAGTGTAAGGACATTAATTGGGTTTTAGCTCCCTTGACTATTTTGAACATTAGACACTGGTGACCCTTCCTCCTTGTTCAGAATCTGTTCCCTCACATTTCTGGTTTTCTAGATTCTTACATCGTTTTGCTTTCTTTCATCACTTTCAGCCCATGCTAGTGACAGACATCCGGCGTGCAGTTAACTAATGGTGACCTCCCCCCTTGTATGTCAGGGTGAAACTGTATATCACAGTTTTCCAGATATTTTGAAAGTAGATTGTCTGATGTCTCTAAGTAGACTCACAGCTCTAACCTTTGATTAACAACCAAGCATGCATGTCAGCCTTTTGCATCACCCAGGAAATGCCCATCACCTAAGAGGCCCACCTACCTCGTCACAAATCAGAATCCTATTTTTGATCCTAGTTTAAAGCCTGTCTTCACTAAGGGATGTTCCGTATTTATAGTCTATGCTGAACCCCTCCTTCTCTGAAACTTTAATGTAAACTTTTCTAGGATAGCATGGCATTGTTCGCTGAATATTTTTATCTTTTTAAAAATTTTATTTAAAATTTAAAATTTTGTCTCTCCAATTTAAGTAGTGGTGTTGTGTTCCGTCAAATTGGAGCCAAGCCATAGCTGACCCTTCTGTGGGTTTTCAGAGGCATTTAATTATACAGGAGGAGATTGCTCATCTAGCAGTAGGCAGACTTGAACCATGTTTATTCAGCACTGAAGCGCAGCTTCTTACCACCAGGCCACCACAGCTCCCTATTAATTACAATTTAATTATAAGCACCTTGAAATCAAGCTAAATCTATGAATCTTTTTTATTAAGTCTGAGGCCTCTTGGATCCACTAGCCACTCCATGTCAGAAAGATAAAGCAATTCCTTCCTAACAGCCTCGGGAATCTGATGGAGGGTCAGGAGTCATGATTCGTTCTCTAACAGTGGATGGGAAGAACTTTTAACTACATTATAGAAAGAGAATTCCTTCATTCTCTTGACTTTCAGTATAATTGGTGATACCATATTGACATATTATTGTTATGCTATCGAGTTTCTTGTGACTCATAGCAACTCTGTGTACAACAGGGCTATACCCTGCTCTGTCCTGTGCCAATCTTATTATATCTGACATAACATTACCCCAGTCACTGAATCAATCCATCTCATTGATTTCCTCTCCTGCGCTGTCCCTCCACCCTCCCCAGCACGATGTCCCTCTCCAAGGACTGGTCCGTTCTTGCAACATGTCCAAAGTATGTCAGACGGAGCTTCAGAATCCTTGCCTCTCCAGGACGACCCTGTTTGTTCTCCTAGCAGTCCATGGTGTATTGAATACTCTTCTCCAGCACCACAGCTCAACAGCATCAATTCTTATTCTTTCATCCCTAGTAGTCATTGATATTGACATAGAGAAACTTTATTTCAGGAACTACTTATATCTACAACAGAACTGAAGGAGATGTCTGAGTACTACTTTGATGGAAAAGGAAAAGCATTTCGACCAATTATTGTGGTGCTAATGGCCCGAGCATGTAATATACATCATAATAACGCCAGGTGAGTTATTTCCTGTCACTCCTCTGTTGGTTTTATATTTTTGAAATCTCTCTTCCTGGAGTTACCATTTACCTCCCCCTGTGATATGTAGCATATATGAAAGAATTCCCATTGTAAGTAGATTGTGACTTTGAATCACTCTCAGTCCTCTTCTAGACTTCTTAATGTCCATTGAAGAATAACTTTAATTGAAAGTAAAGCATGTTGGAAATACATTTATTTTAAATAGCTTTCTTATTTAGAAGTGAAGACCAGGAAGTCTGCATACATTTAATCATTATATACAGTAGGAGCAGTTAGTCCAAAGGTTGATAGCTATAAAGTGAGCTGTGCCTTTATCCTCTGCATTATACCCTGGTCGCCTGCCTTCCTGTGACCTTCTGAAGCATGCAAAAAAAGGAATCACTCATGCTGAAAAAGGAACATTTTCACCTTTGGTCCTCAATTTTCATCTTCTGAACTCATGTCGTAATTTTAAAATACTAACACAACCACATCCTTTTAATATGAAAGGACATCTTAAAAGAAAAAGGATTTCTTGGGTATCTCATGAAGCTGTTATTTATAATACTTCCAAAATGAAATGGACATTTTCTTTTTTATCTTTCCCTTGACCCAATTTACGTACCACTATTCTTAAATTCTTTATTCTCATGCTTGGGTCTTTACAGTTAATATAGTTAACTCCAATAGACTATGAAGTACTAATCCATTTTCCTGTTGTTGAGTATTTATGTTTCATTTTCTCAACTTTGAGGAATGAGTAAGGTATTTCTCAGCACTGCATTTAAGGTTCAGTTAGTAAGAATGAGTGTCAGGTAGTTTCTTGGTGGGTTCCCCACCTCCCACCTCTGGTGCCCTGGCTTGTGTACCTGTGTATGGCACCATGTTCTGGGGTTGGCATCCAGGGACCTTCACAAGACATCAAAAATGTATTTTCAGCTAGTAGTGAAATCTCAGCGATTGGTTTGTTGTTTTTTGTTTGTTTGTTTGTTTGTTTGTTTGTTTTTTCCAAAACCCATCAGCAGTACCACTTTCACTTAACCTGGAATAGAGTAGCAGAATATTCCCAGAGAGTCCAACTTAAAACTCATCTCACATGGTCTGCAGTGGGCTTTCTTACCATTGTTGACATTTTGGGGAAAATATTTTTTTGTTAAGATGCTCTTGGCCTAGTGGTAAGGAGCTGCACTGCCAACCCAAAGGCATAAAACTCAAATCTACCAACTGCTTGGTGAAAAGAAGTGATTTCAAGCCTCTGAATACCCACTGGAGGGTCAGCTGTGTGTCAGTTCTGACTCGACAGCAAATAAGAACAAACTTTTTGTTATGAGTTCCAACCTACATTGTAGGATATTAGCATTCCTGTTCTTTACTCTCTAATTGCTCTCCCCAAGTCAGTGACACCCAAAATGTCTCTAGACATCTCCTCTGTGGGCCAGAATTTACCCCTGGTAGAGAACCATTGCTCTAGAGAGTGTGTGCACTAGTTTGTTTTTTTGTTGTTGTTGTTGTTGTTTTGGTGTTTGTTTTTTTAAATGTCTCAGATTATTACACAGTATAGTTTATTACACTCAGAGAGAATATGGGAAGAGAAACACTCTTCATGATTTTTAAATCTTGTCACCTGTTATCTCTGGTTTTTCCTTTTGTGTCACTGAAACAATCCATGTGAATTGTTGGTTGCCAAAAAACATGGGCAATTATAAAACAGAAAAGGAATTGTGAGTTTAAAAATGAGTTCATTACTCTCCAACCCAGGGAATGTTTTAGCTGCAGATTTATTCTCCTCAATAAAGTAAATCGGAGCAGGACTTTCTAAGTGCTGTGTCCAATATGTGATTAGCAGGCTCAATGTGTGTTCAGAGGGTACAGTACTCCAGAAAATAGGACTTGCCAAGACCCAGTTTCTTGAGAATACAGTTGACCCTTGACCATAATCCTTAAGGTTGTGGCCTTCTGTGCAGTTGAAAATTTATGTGTAACTTAATAAACTTGACCGTTGACCAGCATAAGCATAATTTATTATCATTTACTAGACTAACTGAGAGACTTACTGCCCAAGCAAAGAAGATGAGCTTCTTAATGAGTTTTAAGCACTTAAGCTCACCACAGTAACAATAGGAAAAATAGATCTACGTAGCCCAGGTATTTCCAACCCATGTTATTAAAGAGTCAAAACTGTACTTGCTTTCTTAAGACCCTTTTGGATCCATCTTTTAAAGGGTGTGCTGGTTGCCTAATGATTAAAGAGTTGCACTGCCAGTCTAAAGGTACACTGACCAATCTATCAACTGTCCCACAGGAGGAAGATGGGCACTTCCTCCCTTGTAATGTTGTTGTTGTTGTTATGTGCCGTCGAGTCGCTTGTGACTCATAGTGACCCTATGTACAACAGCCCTAAACTCCACTCTGTCCTGTGCCAATCGCACTGTCACCGACACTCCCATCCCAATTATCCTAGTCACTGAATCAATCCACCTCATAGAGGGCCTTCCCCTCCTGCGCTGTCACTCCACCCTCCCAAGCATGATGTCCTTCTCCAAGGACCGGTCTCTCCTCACAACATGTCCAAAGTATGTTAGATGGAGCCTCAGAATCCTTGCTTCCAAGGAGCCACCCGGTTTAACCCTTTCCAGGACAAATCTGTTTGTTTTCCTAGCAGTCCATGGTATTCTCAATACTCTTCTCCAGCACCACAGCTCAAAGGCATCAATTCTCCTTCTATCCTCTTTGGTCATTGTCCAACTCTCTGATGCATAACAAGTGATTATGAAGACCATGGCCTGTATCAAATGCACCTTAGTCTCCATAGAGACACCATTGCTCTTCAGTACTTTGGAGAGGTCCCTTGTAATAGTCTCTGAAAATCCACTGGAGGGATTTTCAACTCAGCAGTGAGTTGGTTTTAACTTGATGACAGAAACTTACACTACGGCCTAAATATCTCATTATTACTCCCATGGCACTTAAAGCAGGAGAAGTTGGAGGTGCAGAGTAACTCCTGGAGAGCTGGGTCATTTGTAATTGTGGTTACCGAGAAAGGCAAATAGGTGGCTAACAATTAAGGAGCAGAGCCACACACAACTTCCGTTTTAGCCTCTTGCCATCAGAAGTAATCTGAAGCCTCAGTGGCACCCAGACCCTCTTACTATATGTCATGTTTTTGTTGTTCTTGTTGGTAGTGGCAAGATTGAGAGAAACCTGCTTTATCATTTAAGAATCAAAGTTCAACAATGTCTGTGAGATTTATTGAAGAAGCCTTGATTGTGCAACAGTTAAACAAAAGGTTGGCAGCCTGACTCTACCTAACTGCTTTTAGGAAAAAGGCCTAGAAGTCTGCTTCCCTAAAAATTACAGCCAGGGAAACCTGTGAGGCAGTTCTGCCCTGTTACAGAAAGTTCGTATGAGTTGGCGTCAGCGCCAGCAGCAGTGGTTTATTGCACATTATCTTTGACTGTATTGTTGATTGTAATCCTAGAATATAGCAGGTGTCTTAACAGTAGAGAGAAGTACTGCTCATTGACTTTCCTTTCCTTTTATTTGGTTTTTTAGTTGACCAGTAAGTATTCTTTGATAATCTACTGGAAGTTCTTAATCTGAAATCCAGAGGAATTATGAGGGTCTCTGAACTTCTAAATTATATGCAGATTTTTTTGTATATGCATTTTAGGGTGGGTATACATAGTTAATTATACCTTCTGAAAGGACAGGATGACCCTGAAAAGGCCAGGCTTGATCTCTTCATAGCCTGCCAGCCACAGTACCTGGGTGGGTAAGGTTGGAATCCACACAACAGATGATTCAGACTGTTGTGGTGGATTCTGGGATACACAAACACAGTCCTAATGCCCCTTCAATGAAGCACTTGTTCCCGCAGTTACTTAGAGTGCTTTTGGCAGCTATCTACCCCTTCGTGGATTGCCTCAGCTGCAAAGAATCCTCTCATCTACTGCCATGGTGCCTTCCACAGAGGCCCACATCCAGGAACTGACAGATGAAGGATCGGAAACCCCTAGTCATCTTAGGACAGCTCTGAAGGGTCATGCTCCTTTCAGAGAGCCCTGTAGGGTGGCCACGACTGTAGATGGGCCTGCATTTTCGATCAGCTTCTGCCTCTACCCTGCCCTGCTGCCTCCCTTAAGTGTTGGCCCCAAGAGCACTCCATCCCTATTTGTTGGAGAACTCAACTCACCAAAACCTTAATGAACCAGAGTTCAAACCTTTTAAACTGAAGGCCTTATCAAAGAGTCCAGATCAACAATTAATTTTGTGATAGATTTGTTTTTTAAAAATAGTATGTTAGGCCTCCTCCACATTGCCTTTTTTCAAGGAGGAAGGTCTTTCATTTTGGAATGTGACTTTTTAATAAATCTATCTTTAACAACAACAAAAAAAGTAGTATGCTAATTGAATTCAGCACAGCCAGAGTGCCAACACGTTCTTCAAGCAAGTAAACTTACTCAGTTCAGCTCAGCACTTTTATTGAAGGAAACAAATTCTTAATATTCCTGCATGAAAACCTCTCAACCTTGGAAAGTGATATGATTGGCACCAGTCAGGAAAATAGGACAGCCTCTAGCAGTATTGCCCATACTGCAAAGATCTATTGATTCAGATTCTTCACATAATCAAGTTACATTTAATCCTAATAAAATTTTCAAAACTAAATATTTGATTGGGTACATTATAAAGCTCAGTTCTCAGTGGCCCAGATGCAATAAAGGCTTATATTCAGAAGCAGATTAGTTGGAACCCACTGGGCAGCAATGAGTTTGAGTTTTGTTTTGAAGCATATTTTAACTCATAGGTATCCTTCTTGCATTCCATGGGCTCATTAGTAAAGGCTCCTTTGATATTGATGCCAGCAGCATCAAATGTTTGCAAAGAACACGGGAAAAGGGGACCAGATTGCAGTGACTGGAGAGAGAGTGTAGGAAGCAGGATGAGGTTGAAGCTGAGAGCAGGAGATACTCATGACTTCCTTCAAGTCACATCCT